ATCCAGATTTCCCAGCACCATTTGTTGAAGAGTTGATCCTTTCCTCATTGTTTCCTCTTGGTGTCCTTGTCAAAAATTAGTTGACCATATATATTGGAGTTTATTTCTGGGCTCTCTATTCTGTTCCATTGGTCTATGTGACTGTTTATATGCCAGTAGCATGCTGTTTTGAATACTGTAGCTTCATAATTTTAAATCAGAAACTGTTTATTTCTCAGAATTGCTTTGGCTATTGTGGATCTTTTGTGGTTTCATACAAATTTTAGAATGTTTTTTTCTATTTTTTAAAGAATGTCATTGGAATTTTCAGAATTTTGATAAGGACTGTTTTCAATCTGCATATTGCTTTGGGTAATATGGGCATTTTCAACAATATTAATTCTTCCAGTCCACAAGCATGGGGTATTTTTCCATTTGTGTTTTCTTCAATTTCTTTCATTAGAGTTCTATAGTTTTCAATGTACTCTTTCATTTCTTTGGCTAAATTTATTCCTAAGTATTTTATTCTTTTTGATGCTATTGTAAATGGAATTTTTTTCTTGATTTCTTTTCTGGATAGGTTATTTGTGTACAGAAATACAAACGATTTTTATATGTTGACTTGTATCCTGCAACTTTACCAAATTATTAGTTCTAACGGTCTTTTTGTGAAGTTTTTGAGATTTCCTACATATAAGATGTCATCTCCAAATAATTTTACTTCTTCCCTTCTGATATGTATGTCTTTTATTTATTTTTCTTGTCTTATTGCTCTTGCTGATACTTTCAGTACTATGTTGAATAGAAGTGGCAAGAGTGGGCATCTTTCCCTTGTGTCATACCTTAGAGGAAATGTTTTCTGGTTTTTCCCATTGATTATGATGTTAGCTGTGAGTTTTTCATAAATGGCCTTTACTACGTTGAGGAAATTTCCTTCTCTACCTGAATGGTTTAGAGTTTTTTTTATCAAGAAAGAATGTTGAGCTGAGCATAGTGTCTCACACCTATAATCCCAGCACTTGGGGAGGCCAGGAGTTGGAGACTAGCCTGGGCAACGTAGCTAGACATGTCTCTACAAAAACTAAGAAAAATTATCCAGGCATGGTGGCATGCACCTGTAGTCCTAGCTACTTGGGAGGCTGAGGCAGGAGGATGGCTTGAGTCCAGGAGTTCAAGGCTCCAGTGAGCTATGATCACATCAATGCACTCTAGCCTGGGTGACAGAGTGAGACCTTGTCTCAAAAAAAAAAAAAAATATGTCGAACTTTGTCAAATGCTCTTTCTGCATCAAGATGATTATATGGTTTTTATCTTTCATTCTGTTATTCGGATATATCCCACTGATTGACTTGCATATGTTAAACCAGACTTGCATGCTTACTTAACTTTGAAGACTTTGTTCTGACAATATTTCCAAGAAGTTCCCTCAACTCCCTGTCCTAGCCCAGAAGCCCTTGATCCCTATCATAGCAGGCAGCACCCTGCATGGAAATTACTGGTTAACTAGACTGTCTTCCCACTAGGCTAGATGCTCCTTATAAGGAGGCTACTGTTTTTGCTATTTGTGCTTCCTCAACACCTGGTGCAGATCTGGGTTATGTAGACAGCATTTGTTGAAGTGATCTTAAAAAACATAAAAAACATTTCTAGCTCTGAACCTTAGTCTCATCTGTAAAATAACCAAAAAATAATTGTCAATTGTATAAGGTTGTGGGGAGACCAAATAGTACAGTGTCTGACACATATGTCTCCAATTAATAGCTCCTTTTCTTACATTTAAAGACCAAGGGAGTTGAAGTACATGGTCTGGCTTTGAGTAGAAGAATAGAAAAAGGGAGTAAAACTGAAGACAACTCTAAGTTTAAATTTTGTCTGACATGTAACAAATGAATTGAACTAGTCACTTACCTAATTGTAAGTAATCATATAGCTTGTAATGGGCGAGGCTAGCAGTGTTTGACCTATCACCTCGCAAGCTTCTCTACCACCCAAAGCTAAAGGGACTGGAGTGTGGGAGGCAGCATAATGACCTCCAAAGATATCCACATTCCAATCCCCAGAACCTGTGAGTATGTTACAAGGGAAAAATAAGGTAACAGATGGAATTAAGTTGATAATGAGCTGACCCTAAGGTGGGTAGATTATCCTGAGTTATCCAGATGGGCCAAATGTCTGGTCTAAAAAGATAAGGGTCTTTCAGATGTCAAAAGAGGAGGCAAAAAGAGAGTCAGAGATTTGAAGATATTATGCTGCTGGCTTTAGAGATGGAGGAAGAGTCACAGAATGAATGAATGCAGGTGGCCACTAAAAGCTGGAAAAGGCAAGGAAAAGAATTTTCTCCTAGAACTTCCAGAAGGAAAGTGGCATTGCCAACACCTTGATTTTAGCCCAGTGAGACCCATTTCAAACTTTTGACCTCCAGAATGGTAGGATGATAAAGTTGTGTTGTAAGATAATAAATTACCACTAAGTTTGTGTTTTCTTACAGCAGAAACATGAAACTCATAAATAAGGCAAACACCATCTTGTGCCATAAATACTGTGTATGCAAATTGAGTAAAATACATTTCTGAGAACATCAAAACTTGCTCTTCCTACTTGACTATAACTTTCTACCCATTGACCAACTTTTTCCAGTCTCCACTCCCTCCCTCCCTCCCCCAGCCTCTGGTAATTGGTCTATTCTCTACTTCTATGAAATCATAGATCCCACATTTTAGATCCCACATATGAGTGAGATCATGTGGTATCTTTCTGTGGCTGGCTTATATACGTGTGTTGAAACATCACATTGTACCCCATAAATATGTACAATTATGTCAGTTATGAATTTTTAAAAATGAAGATGAATCTCTCCATCAGACTTCACAAAAATAATGCATTTCTGAGAAGGACTGTGTTCGAGTTGTAAGGAAACTTTGAAAATGTGCAGCCCTTCGTAGTATCAGGGAGGGTCTTACCTCACACCATCTGTCTAGAAAATAGGGCCATGAGCCAATGCCCAAGCCCAGACAGGAACCAGGTTTTCACACATCCTGTCCAGGGCTTTAATACAGGTTGTGATCTCATGAAATGAGGTGAACAACTCTTTAAAGAATTTACGTGGAAGTCACTGTGAAATGATTTCAGAACCGCTGTAAGTGAATAAGCCACGTTCTCAAAAGTGACTAGAGAAATGATATGCTAAGCCTTAATGGTTGTGTCTTAACACTGAGCTACTCTGTTTGAAATATGTCATCACCTTTGCTCTTAAAGGACAAATTGAAAATAAGGAATAATCCATATTTGAATCTAAGCCTCATAGGAAGTGCAGATACTTTGTTTTTCAGGTCTTTCCTCTTCCAAATATGTTTAATACAGAAGACCTTGCTAACAATTCCTTAACTAAGTTTTAAATCTACCAATAAATGTTGGCATGTCACGCTATTTCAAATATTAGTATTCTAGCTTCACGCTTTTAGTGGTTCTGAGAGTCTAAAAATATTCAGCTGAAATCTATTTCAGCCATATAACACTTTTTGCAAATGTGCTAATACTCATTCTTGATTATGGGTTGTACACTGCACACATTTCTTATTTATCTCAAGTGTCCCCTGCTTTTGCTTTAATGGCTACCCATGGCTGTGTCCTCCAGTCATAGGTGTGGTGTATACATACACTCTGTACTAAATTCCCACATTTTAAGAATTTTCCCTTTACATAGTCCTACTTTTGCCTAATGCTCCCAAATGTGACAAGTTGACTGACACCACACATCTGCCTTATATGGAAAGGGCTGCAAGTGATGAGATACTAGTCAGCTTATTTTGAAACTTCTGAGTATTATTCCTTTCAATAAAGCAAAAGGATAAACTTTGCTGAATTATCAAAAACAAATCAGAGAGTGCTATGACTGTATTTAGAAAAAAAGCCTGTTATATTACCAAAAATATGATTCCAAACTATTTGAAGGGTTTCCCCAGGAAGAGAAGTTATTCTATTTCAACCCAGAAGGCAGACCTAAGCTAAGGCCATTGAATAGGATTCAAGAAAGGTAGACTTCAGTTTAATACCAGTATGACAGTTTGATGCTGTGGGACTTGGGGCATGTCACTGAATCCCTGGAGCAAAGACATTCTCCTCAGTTGAAACAGAGCGATAATACGATACCACCTAGCCTCTGAGGTTGTAGTGAGGATTAAATGCAGCAATGTCTGAGGAAGAACTTTGCCAAGTATTTCAAATACTCAGTTTAAAAAGATACACTTAATCTTTTAAGAGTCCTATTCTGATTTTTAGAAAATGGTCACTTTTAGTTTACTGCTCTATTCAGCATTCCCAGGTTGCAGATACATAAACAATGGAATTTCCAACTGTCAACAGTTGGAATACTATCCTATTTTAAAATATTTAAAAAATTCTTACCTAATGAGACAGCCAGTACGGCTTACTTTAATCAATATCTTACCTTCCCCTACTATCAACTGCTGTGTTCTCCATTCAGAGCCTGAAGTTTTGCATCTATTCATTCCAGCACTTTTGCAAAAGCTATCCTTATAGGCAGTTGTGACTCTTAAAATCTGCAATTACTTTTCACAGAGGTTGTACTAGTTTGCAGTCCCACCAGCAGTGTATGATTGTTCCTATCTCTCCACATCCATGCCAACATTTATTGTTTTGGGACTTTTTGATAACAGTCATTCTCACTGGAGTTAAGTGTTTATGAACTGAAATGCCCAATATCGCTGGAATTTTGGGAGAGCCCTAAACTGTGGTCCCCAAGCCCTGGGCCGAGGACCAATAACGGTCTGTGGCCTTTTAGGGCCCCGGCAGTGGAGCTCTGCTGCACCCTCCCCACCCCCTGTCCATGGAAGAATTGTCTTCCATGAAATTGGTCCCTGGTGCCAAAAAGGGTGGGGTCCGCTGCCCTACAAGGTTGTCAGTAAGATAAAGAGCACGTGAAGTGGACACAGGAAAAGAAAATATTGATAAGATGGGCATCATGTATGTTTTCAACACATACACAGTTATATATCTGAAAATTAGGTTTTAGTTAATATATTTATTACAGCAGGTCTTTAGTCATTATTGCCATGAAAAAGTTTTCAATGAAATTTCACAAAATCCTTTAGGCTATTAGTATTAGCTTTTTTTCTTTTTATGGAGTGACACTTTGTTAATTTATGAAATATTTACAGCATTTACAAAAAGCAAGAGAATGTCTAATAACATTTCTTATACTTACAAAATTCATACATTATACTACTGTACTTGAGATGTCTTATTTGGTAGATCAATTAAGCTATGCCATAAAATAATTTACAAAGATATATTTAATTTCTCTTAATTCACTGAAAACAAAACCATACCAGCTATAAATAATCCTTTACAAATCATTGTAAAACACATTAATTGTTTTAACGCTAGCCTTAGCTTTCACAAATATACTCATTAAATGAATTAGTTTAGATAGCAAATAGAATTGTGCATTTAACTTTTCACTTTATACTACAAAACAAAACAACCTGAAAAAGCAAACTGCCCCGGTACTTCAAGTAAAAATTTGTAGAACCAGTTTTTATGCACGCTTGGGGGGTGGGGAAGGGAAACCAACACCATTTAAATTGAAATTTATAAACAATATTTTTGAGAATACACTCAGCAAATGTACATCTGGGGCATTCATTTCAAAGTATGATGCTCTAGCAACAGCTCACACACTCAAGATGCACAAGTCTACATTTTGGCAGATAAGCTGGATTGACTAGAGCAATGTTTGCAACCTAAGCAGCAGAATGCACCTGCCATCCTTGAACAGTGCCACCACCTGAAAGTGATTCAGAATTTTAGGCAAGCTCATGGAAGAATTACAAAAAAACAGAACTGGCAGTTAAAAAAAATCAAATCATATTTAACTGGGCCCCACCAGTTTTTTAATATAAAAATAAACTTCTCTTGAGAATTAGGGGAAAACATTTTATATTCCACAACTTCCAAATAATGAAAAACTCATCCCCACAGCTATTTTTCCTTAAGTCACCACTTATGATGGTATAAAAGTTGGCAATTACTTAAACACCTTGCTCTTAGGTAACGCCATGGAAGCTGAGTTCAATTTGGTTTTGGCAATAACACATCTTTCACATTTGGATTCATTTTGGATAATCCAAAGCATCCACTAAGGAGCTTGAGGAAAATCCATTTTATAAACATATTTTCCCCCTTTAATTTAAAATAATGTTTTAATTAAGCCCACAAAATGCATATTATATATATAGTATTTCTCTAGAGGTAAATTAAATTTAAATTTTATCTTTCAAAAGCTGCTTTTTAACAGTGTCAGCATTTTCCAAAACCCTCATCTTGGCTCCTTTCTTCTGACTGCCGTGTGGACACTGTAGTTTTCTTGTAATATGTATTCTAGAAGGCACATATTCAAGAGTTTAAGATTATGTTAGTTCAAGTTCTACATGGAGGCAAATATTTTAATCTACTTTGTACAGATGCCCAAAATGAAAGCCAACTATTTCCTTTATTCAGAGCCCTAATGTAGTGTCAGGGTCCCCCTCAGAAGTGAGTTTGCACATGGGGCATCATTTGGGAAGGACTAGAAGGTGATGTTGGGGGGTCAGAAAGCTTGGTAGAGTTGGCAAGCTGCAATTCCTCAAGCCGCTTTATGTATTCATCGCGCAAGGCTAAGAGCTCCATGTACCGCTGCTCCACCGGATTCGGCTGCTGGAGAGAACCATGGACACAAGTTACGCTTACGCTGGCCATGTCACGAGAAGTCACCTGCTCCACACATCTGCAGAAACTGCCACTTTCTTAATAAAGCCTTCTATCAAGGTTTAACATAATACACACTTTCCTTTACTAGTGCATCACTGACACATACAGAAAAGTACCCAGAGTACTAAAACCCCCAGCTGTTCACTGCCAAGAAATAAGTAATGTACACATTTCCTCACACATGTCACCATCTTTTAAAATTTTAATAGATCTAGACACAGTTCCAGTCTTCTGAGCTGCCTGTCCCCAGGCCCACTGTCCTTTTTGCTCTGAGAGACATCTACCACACCAGTGGATAATCAGTGACTTCCAGGGCTCCTCAGTAGTACATGCAATGCCGTACTGAGTATCCTCATACACATCTCCTTGCACACATATGCAAGTGTTGCTCTAAGGAATTTTCCTAGGGGTGGAATCACTGAGAAGTAGAGAATGGTCTCTTCAACTTCACTAGATGCTGCCAAGTTGCTCTTGGAGATGGTGATGACACCTTATGCTCCTGTGTCCTCACCAGAACTTAGGAGCCTAAGATTATGATTTTTTTTCCCAATTTGAGGGCTATAACATGGTATGCCATGGTAGTTTTAATTTATATTACTCTACTAGAACATATTTTCATGTGCTTATTGCCCATTTTAATACATGGCTAAGAGCAGCAGCTCTGCTACCCTCCGGCCTGAGTGTGTATCGTGGGTTTGCCCCTTACTAGCAGTATAACTGAACCTTCTGTGGGTCTCCATTTCCCTATGTGTAAAATGGGAATAAAAACAGCATACACTTCACAGCATTGTGAGCGTGGAGTTATACATTCTGTATTGCTACAATGCCGATTTCTTTGATGGGTAAATAGGGGATTGGTATTGAGAAAAAGGCAAAAGTCAGGCTAGAGCACAATGTGATTTTCCTTAGCATGTTAATTTTTAATCACAGTGCATAAATCTCAATGTTCAGCTCAATGCATCTTTATGTATGTATATGCTTATGTATTCACCACCCAGGTCAAGATATACAACAGAACAGCCCTGCAAAAAGTTAATGTTTTGAAGCGATCATAGGGGCAAGCTTTCTAGAAAGCTTGAGCAATATATGAAGACCTTAAGGAAAAAGCAGAATGTCTACAGAGTGCCTTCTGTTAGTACACATAGTGGCTTCCAGAACCGTGCTGTTTTCTACTGTGTTAAGCAATTTGCCAAAGTTATGAACACCAACAAGGAAGCTGTGAAGACAATGCATTGATGAAGGAGACTGGATCTAATTTTTAATGGTGAAGAGAATGGAATCTATTGGAAGCAGACACCCTCCAGAACCTGCATCCCAGCAGAGAGAGCATGAGCCCTGGGTATAAGACTGTGCATGAGCTTCCTGCAGCTGCCCTAACAAGCTAACATGAACTTGGGGGACTTAAAACAACAGAAATTCATTTTCTTATGGTTTTGCAGAGCAGAAGCCCCAAGTAAGGGTGTCAACAGGGCCATGCACTCTCTGGGGGCTCCAGGGGAGGATGCTTCCTTGCCTCTTCCAGCTTCTGGTGGCTCCAGGCTTCCTTGGCTTGTGGCAGCATCACTCCAATCTCTGCCTCTGTCTTCACATGGCCTTCTCCCCTCTGTGAGCCTGTCTCTCAAGTCTCCTCCTCCTTTCTCTTATGAAGACATCTGTCATTGGATTTAGGGCCCACCCCCCCTAAATCTGGGATGATCTTAAGATCCTAAACTTAATTACAACTGCAAGGACCTTTTTCCCAATTAAGGTCATATTCATAGGTTCCAGGCAGAAACGTCTTTTTTTTTCTTTTGGCAGGGTGTGGGGGCATTTTACCCACTACAGGCTGCCAAGGAGTGACTCAGCTAAAGCCAGGTACAAATACAGCAGAGGCATAACTGCCCACGTTTCTACTGAGATTGTTGCTTTCATTAGCACTCTGGTTACAAAGGTCCACAGGTTTGCAAGAGGCCTCCTATTCCTATTCTTCCCATAATCACTGTTATTTTTAGTGTGTGACTTGGCACTGTCAGATTTTTCAGGAATGCATATAGGGATGGCATTAGAACAGGAATACTTGGTAGAACACGTAACGCCCAGTAAATGCTGTGCACTGCTTGTTAATATCTTTGCTCATTTTTCTCTTCATAAACTTGACTGAGGGCCAGATACTGTTCCATCAGTGAACAAAGGAGGCCCAAAATACCCATTTTCACGGCCTTTATCTTGCAGCAGGGGGAGCTAGACAAACAAACATAATCATCTTGTGAGTTCCATAGAATGTTTGAAGGTGATCAATACTATGGAAGAGTAGAGCAGGGTAAGAGGCTTATACTCTAAACTGGGTGGTCAGAGAGAGTCACACTGAACAGGTGATTTCTGGGGAAAGGCTTGAGGGAGATGGAAGGTGCTCAGTGGATATTTGAGTGTCTGAGGAAGAGCAGAGAGGTCAGTGCGGCTAAAGCAGTGTGTGACACAGTTGCTGGTGAGGAGGCCAAGAGGTTGGAGAGGTAAGGGGCAGGGGTCAAATGAGGCCTAAGAGGCCATCATAAGGACTTGGGCTTTGACTCTAGGTGAGATGAGCAGCTACCTGGCCAGTTCTGAGTAGTAGAGTGGCATGATCTGCTTTACAAGGACACTTTGGATGCCATGCTGAGAACAGACTGGAAAGAAGCAAGGGGAGCATATCAAGGAGTCTAGCTAGAAGGCTACTGCTACCACGAGGGGAGAGGGCACGTGGCCTGCACCTTTATATATTCATAAATAACTTGTTCTAAATTCTTCAAATTTCAAGAACTTCTTCAAGTACAGATGGTTGAAAAGAGGTTACAGGATCTATATAGAAACTACCGACACTTTTTCATTGCCAATGTTTAACAAAAAGCCACAAAAATACAGAAAAGGCTTATTTTATAGGACACAGTGCTCATCTATAAAATATTTTTTAATTAGAAAAGGAACACGTTCTCTGTAAAAGTGGTTAGAACCCTGGAAAAATTCCCATTTCCTCTTTACTTGCTATTCCAAACACTAGGACTCCTGCTAAACAAATTCCCTCAATGTGCTTCTCAGATCCCAAACTAAACAAGTGAATGTTCTCAAGCCCTGGAATCTGTCACTTTCCAAAAGAATGCACATTTCAACCATTACCAAATTGCAAAAGCCTTTCATGCAAATGGCAGAGATCTCGAAAGGAGGGTGCCAGCTTGAAATGGGCATTTCCCCAATGAGAAGAGAGCGGACAGACTGGCACGCGGCCAGCTGCCTGAGTGGAATGAAAATCTGAGAGACAGACCACAGCCACAGTGCCCTGCTGTGGCCAGCCTATTTCTGGTGGATTAAAGCTGGCGCTTATGTAAGACTGGACTGTGAGAACAGGTAGTTGACCACCCAAACAGCAGGAAAACGTGCAAAGCTTTACAAAGGGCCACCACAAACACTGAATATTTATAATGCTTAGAACAAATCAATAAACAGATGTACTGCCAAACCTTTCCAAAAAGGCTGTTTTTCCTTCTGATTTTGGATTGACTGAGGGTGGGAGAATGAAAAGCTCAAGTGTGTCTTTAATAAAATGTGGAGTCTTTCACTTCAAAAATCATTGTTGCCATCTTCACTTGATAAATGGCCAACTGAACTGACTATCCACTGACAGGTCAATTACCTTTATTTTAGAAGAAATGAACCTCAGTAAAAAGCCCCCTGACATTAGCTGACTCTGTGCACACACCTGAACCAGAGTGTAGCAAACCTTTTCTTACCTTGACAGGATCATCTAAGTCTAGTCAATGTAAAGAATTTTCTAACGATGCATATATGATATGTAACCACGTCAAGTGATTAATGGAAATCCATGGCTATAAAAACTCAGAAATTTTCTAAAGCTTTAGATCAGCTTAGATTTTAGTAAAAAAATTCTATCATTCACATTGGCAGAGGAATTTATCAAAATTCATGGTTTAGTAATTAAAAAAAATTTTAAAGTTTTGTTTAAAAACAAGTTTTTCAGCCTATTTTTCCTTATAATATTAAAAACCACCATATGAAATATCATTATCTAGGCCCAGAAGTAACCATTCAGCTGACATCACTGTCTTTTAACAATGCTACTTCACTTACTTGTTGCTTGATTCTGGGGTTCCATCTGATGTAGTAATTCACCCAGAGTTCCAAGTGACGCATACTGGCAACTGGATATAAGACTCGATTGATTTCTTTAGTATAGAAGGGGTTTTTGAATTTTTCTTTATTGTTGTTTATCAGCGACCATAAAGAAACAGTTCTTTCTGTAACTTGCTATATAGAGAGAAAGTAAAAAGCCTAAGTGAAAACACAAATACACAAGCCATTTTGCAGCCTGTGGCAGTACCTTGACAGGATCTTGTTCATTGGCAACTTGAATCACACATTTACATTATCCCCATAATAGCTCAAAAAGCCTCATGGGCCAGTGAGTGCTTGCTAGCCACTTACTGATATTTGCCTAGATAATGGCCTAGCTTGAGAGCCACTATTTCTGCCAGAAGACAAGGGGACAGATGCTATACCATCAAATTCAATTCACTGACCTAAGTTAAGACTATTTCTGGCTAGGTAAAAACATTTATGAATAGACAGGCAGTAATGTTCTTTTTAGTTCAGTGAAAAGAAAAATCATAAGATCTCATCAGCTTTTCAAACTTTTCCATTTGTTAGAACTATGAAACCTTAACCTGTGTCTACTTGACAGTAGGCATCTGGACATGAAGTTATTTTAATCACCCATCCAGATGTTTAATCTATATCATGTCAACATCTAGATAGCTGAAAACATCTAGATAACTGACTGAACTGAGTCTTCACTTTATAGCTTGGTGTCTGTCATCTCATAAAGATATTCACATTTTCATTGTTTTTTTATTAAAGCTTTTTACCAAATTTTGACTATAAATTAAAGAAAAAAAAAAAGCTAGGAAAATAAAAATATAAGAATTAAAATTACCAAAGGTGGAATCTGAAATTCTTCCTAGTAATGACTTCAAGAGCAATAAGCTAAAACTGGAACATAAAAAGAATATCCTGAAATAAATGACTAAAGAAATTTTATTTATTTATTTATTTATTTATTTATTTATTTATTTTTATTGCGGCATATGATGTGGGTACAGATTTTAAGGTTTCAATAAATGCCCTTTCCCCCCTCCCCCCACAAGTCTGAGTCTCCAGCATGACCATCCCCCAGACGGTGCACGTCTCACTCATTATGTATGTATATACCCACCCCCCGCCCGCCTGCCCAATACCCTAAGAAATTTTTTAAACATATGTATTTCATTAACATGAACAATAATGACAGCATAATTCTACCTTCCTTTAAATACACTTAAAAACTTCAATTGTATCTTTCGATTGACATAAATCTATACTGCATTTTGTTTATTTGCATGTTTTTTGTTGTTGTTGTTGTTGTTGAGACAGGGTCTCACTCTGTGGCCCAGGCTGTAGTATTGTGGTGTAATCACAACTCATCGTAACCCTGAACTCCTGGGCTCAAGCAAGCCTTTCATTTCAGCCTCTCAAGTAGCTAGGACTATAGGTGTACAACACCATTGTCAGCTATTTTTCAAATTTTTTGTAGAGATGGAGTCTTGCTACATTGCTCACGCTGGTCTCAAACTCATGGCCTCAAGCAATCCTCTTTGAGGTATGATTGACAAATAAAAATTGTATATATTTAAGGTGTACACATGTTTTGATAGATGTATACATTGTGAAATAATCACTATAATCAAGCTAATTAACATATCTGTCACCTCATACAGTTACCATTTTTTTGGTAGTGAGAAAACTTGAGATCTACTTTCTTAGTAAATTTCAAGTATACATTATTAACCATAGTTCCTATGCTATACATCAGGTATTTGGTACTCATTCATCATATAACTGAAGGTGTATGCCTTTTGACCAACATATCCCTTTCTCTCCCACCTAGTAACTATCCTTCTACTCTCTGTCACTATAGGTTCAAGTTTCTTTAGATCCTAAACATAAGTAAGATCATGTGGTATTTGCCTTTCTGTGCCCGGCTTATTTCACTTAGCCTAATGTCCTCAAAGTTCATCCACGTTTCCACAAATGACAGGCTTTCATTCATTTTTATGGGTGAATAGTATTCTGTTGTGTGTATACATACATTTTCTTTACGCATTTATCTGTTGATGGACACTTAGGTTGATTCTGTAACTTGGCTATTGTTAATAAACATAAGAGTGAAGATAACTCTTTGACATACTAATTTTCTTTCTTTTTTTTTTGAGACAGAGTCTCACTGTGTTGCCTGGGCTAGAGTGCCGTGGGGTCAGCCTAGCTCACAGCAACTTCAAACTCCTGGGCTCAAGCAATCTTTCTGCCTCAGCCTCCCAAGTAGCTGGGACTACAGGCATGTGCTACCATGCCTGGATAATTTTTTCTATATATTTTTACTTGGCCAATTAATTTCCTTCTATTTTTGATAGAGATGGGGTCTCACTCTTGCTCAGGCTGGTTTTGAAATCCTGACCTTGAGCAATTTGCCTGCCTTGACCTCCCAGAGTGCTAGGATTACAGGTGTGAATCACAGTGCCCAGCCCTAATTTCCTTTCAATAAATACCCAGTAATGGAATTGCTGGTAGTACTAATTTTGTAAAGAGTCTCTGCTATGGTATGGGATATTTGTCTCCTCCAAACATGATGTTGAAATTTGATCCCCAATGTTGGAGGTGGGGCATAATGGGAGGGGTTTGGGTTAGGGTTCTTACTCTATTAGTTCCTAGAAGAACTAGTCATTAAAAAGAGTCTGTAATCCCCTGCTTGCTTCCTCTCTAGCCATGTGATCCCTGAACATGCTAACTCCCCTTTGCCTTCCACCATGAGTAGAAGCAGCCTGAGGCCCTTATCAGATGCCAGCACCATGCTTCTTGTACAGCCTGCAGAACCATGAGCCAAATGAACCTCTTTCCTTTATAAATTACCTAGTCTCAGATATTCCTTTATAGCAACACAAATGGACTAAAACAACCTCCATACTGTTTTCCATAATGGCTGTGAAAATTTATATATCCACCAATGTTGTATAAGGATTCCCTTTTTTACACATCCAAACCAGAATTTATTTTTTGTTTTTTGGATAATAGCCATTCTAATTAGGGTGAGGTGATATCTCATTGTGGTTTTGACTTCCATTTCTCTGATCATTAGTGATAAGCATTTTTTCATGTATCTGCTGGCCATTTGTTTGTTTTCTTTTCAAAAATGTCTATTCAAATTCTTTGCCCATTTTTTAATCAAATTATTTGCTTTTGAGTTCCTTATATATTCTGGATATTAACCCATCAGATAGGTTGCAAACACTTTCTCCTATTTCTGTAGGTTGTCTCTTCACTTTATTGATTGCTTCTTTTTTTTCTAACTCACTACTTTATTTCTTATTTATTTATTTATTTTAGCGTATTATGGGGGTACAAGTGTTAAGGTTACTTATACTGCCCATGCCCCCCTCCCCCTCGAATAAGAGCTTCAAGGATGTCCATGCCCCAAATGTTGCACATCTTACTTGTTGTGGTTGTATATACCCATCCCTTCCCCCCTGCCACCCTCCCAACACCCCATAAATGTTATTCCCGTATGTCCACATAGGTGCTGATCGGTTAATACCAATTTGCTGGTGAGTACATGTGGTGCTTGTTTGTCCATTCTTGAGATACTTCACTTAGTAGAATGGGTTCCAGCTCTATCCAGGAATATACAAGAGGTACTATATCACCATTGTTTCTTAAAGCTGAGTAGTATTCCATGGTATACATATATCACATTTTATTAATCAACTGATGAATTGATAGGCACTTGGATTGTTTCCATAGCTTTGCAATTGTGAATTGTGCTGCTATAAACATTCGAGTGAATGTGTCTTTTTCATAAAGTGACTTTCGGTCTTTTGGGTAGATGCCCAGTAGTGGAACTGCTGGATCAAATGGTAGATCTACTTGTATCACTTTGAGGTATCTCCATATTGCTTTCCACAGAGGTTGAACTAGTTTGCAGTCCCATCAGCAGTGTAGGAGTGTTCCTCTCTCTCCACATCCACGCCAGCATTTGTTGTTTGGGGACTTTTTGATAAAGGCCATTCTCACTGGAGTTAAGTGATATCTCATTGTGGTTTTGATTTGCATTTCCCTGATGATTAGAAATGTTTAGCATTTTTTCATATGTTTGTTGGCCAGTATTCTGTCTTCTTTTGAGAAGTTTCTGTTCATGTCCTTTGCCCATTTTTTGATAGGGTTGTTTGATTTTTCTTGCTGATTTTCCTGAGTTCTAAACAGATTCTAGTTATCAGCCCTTTATCAGATATGTAGCTTGCAAAAATTTTCTCCCATTCTGTGGGTTGTCTGTTCGCTCTCTTGACAGTTTCTTCAGCTGTGCAGAAGCGTTTTAATTTAATTAGGTCCCATTTGTTTATTTTTGTTGCTGTTGTGATTGCCTCTGGGGTCTTCTTCATAAATTCTTTGCCTAGGCCAATGCCTAGAAGAGTATTTCCAACATTGTCCTCTAGAATTCTAATACTTTCACACCTAAGATTCAAGTCAGTTGCCCAGCGTGAGTTGATTTTTGTGACAGGTGAAAGGTGTGGGTCTTGTTTCAATCTTCCACATGTGGCTATCCAGTTTTCCCAGCACCATTTATTGAATAAGGATGCTTTTCCCAAGTGTATGTTTTTGGCTATATGAGGATGGTTTTATATCTGGGTTCTCTGTTCTGTTCCTCTGGTCAATGTCCCTGTTTTTGTGCCAATAAAAAGCTGTTTTAATTACTATAGCCTTGTAGTATAGTTTGAAGTAGGGTAAATTGATACCTCCTATTTTGGTTTCATTGCCTAGGATTTATTTTGCTATACAGGGTCTTCTCTGGTTCCATACAAAGCGTAAAATTATTTTTTCTATATCTGTGAAAAATGATGATGGCATTTTGATAGGGATTGCGCTGACTCTGTAGGTCACTTTGGGTAGTACAGACATTTTAATAATGTTGATTCTGCCGACCCATGAACATGGTAGATTCTTCCATCTGTTTACATCCTCTGCTATTTCCTTCTTTGGTGTTTCATAGTTCTCCCTGTAAAGGTCTTTTACCTCCTTAGTTAAATATATTCCAAGGTACTTTATTTTCTTTGTTGCTATTTTGAAGGGAATTGAGTCTTTGATTTGGGTTCTCTCTTTTACTGTTATTGGCATATATGAATGCCTCTGATTTCTGTGTAGTGATTTTATATCCTGAGAATTTA